GCCAGTTACTGTCTGATTGGGCCCATTTGCGAATTCCTCCAAGATCTTGTCGATGTAAAGCAGCATAGCAAAATTCATCTAAATCGATTTTTCTTTTACTAAAGTTATCTTGCTCAAAAGCTTAAGTCCCCAAGGCTCCAATAGTATTTAAAATTCCAAAGTCCCATAACTCTGTCAGTTACTGTCTGATTATGACCATTTTTGCATTTGTCCCAGATCTGATTAACATAAAGCAGCATACCAAAATGTATTGACATCCATTAATTTTTACTCAAGGTATCATGCTAACAAAATAAAAAATATTAAATACCTATCCACCCCCATAAAATAACCATCTACCCTATTCTATAGTCATAAAATACCTCTCCATCCCCCCAAAAAACCCATCTACCCTATACTGTAGCGATAAAATACCTATCCATCCCCATACAATGACCATCTACCCTATACTATAGTCATAAAATACCTATCCACCCCTTTAAAATAACCATCTACCCTATACTATAGTCATAAAATACCTATCCACCCCTTTAAAATAACCATCTACCCTATACTATAGTCATAAAATACCTATCCACCCCTTTAAAATAATCATCTATCCTATACTATAGCCATAAAATACCTATCCACCCCCATTAAATAACCATCTACCCTAAACTGTAGTCATGAAATACCTATCCACCCCCATAAAATAACCATCTACCCTAAACTATAGCCATAAAATACCTATCCACCCCTATGAAATAACCATCTACCTTATTGTTTTGGGAAGGAGTGATTTATTATACAGTCAGAAATTTAAATTAACTGTAATATCAAGAAAAGTAAAACAAAACATCTCTTTTCAGTATACAGAATAGAAGTAACAATGCCAATTGCATTATTCTCACCTTTTGACTTTGTTAATAATCAAAAAGATGAATTAAAATGGTTATAAAACTTCAGTACAGTATAAGTATTTATTTGTTTTATTCATCCTACATATGACTTCAATAATTATTATAAGGCTGTTTTTTCTTGGTAAAGGCCACGCCTCTGTGCTGCTCACCTGTCACCTCGCTCTCACCTTTATTGATAAGCCCCAAGGGCCCCAGTCCCCACACAGGTGACACCCTATAGTGTGTATTACGTGGACAGACATGAAGGAATCATTAACTACAGATAATATGATGAAATAATGTTGTAAATTTTGTATTTATGTAAAAAGTTTTGATAAAATTTAGGGGGATGAATATATTTTATTGGGGGGGGGGGAGTATTTTATGCATAAAATATTCACCCGAATGAGTATTTAATGCATAAAATACTCATCCGGATAGGTATCTATATAGCTAATGGGGATGAATATTTTATAAGACACCGATTTAAGTACGTTGATGCTATCTTTGCACTAACTACATGCCATAATTACTGGGTCTTTAAATTTTAATAAGCGTCCGTATTGTTGCTTTGTAGATTTAAAAAAAGCCTTTGATACTATCAACAGGTATAAATTATGATATAAATCATCACAATTAGGTATCAGAGGGAAACTACTTACAACTATCAAACCAATGTACAAACAAGTAAAATCATGTGTTATGATTAATGGTAGATGTTCAGATTTTTTCGCCAACAATATAGGCCTCGTCCAAGGGAAATTTTATCACCGATAATGTCTTCTTTATATGTTAACGACTTTCCAAACTATTTGATTTTGAATGGAATGAAAGATTTTGAATTTGGAGAACTGAGTTTATTGATGATGTATGTGGATGATTTATTCTTATTAGTAGAGTCTGTAAGCCACTTACAAAACATGTTGGATAATTATATACGTATGCTCAATCATAAATGGAAGAATACATAAAGTTGACATATCGTGAAATAGTGGTCAGAAATTGGAAGTAGTAGACCAATTCACATATTTGGGAGTTGTTTTTAGATATAATAATGAGTTTAATGCACTACAAAAGCAGTTATCCGCAAAAGGCCGAAAGGCAGTGTTTGCTTTGTATTCTAAATGCAAGTCTACATATAGATGCAGTTGAATTGTACCACCGTTTTAAATTCATTTGACCGTATGAAAACCGTATTGTATGCTATGCAGTGGAAGTCTGGGGTACCAGTGAAGGATTAGACATTGACAAAGTACTCTGGAGTTTGTAAAAGGATACTTCATGTTAAACAGTCAACATGCAATGTAATGGTCTATTTTGAACGAGGAAGATTTAATATAATACATATCAGGAAATACTGTATGATAAAATATTGGTTAAAAATTGTTAACTCCAATAACTGTATTTTGAAAACTGCACATGGAGTTTTGACAAAACTACCCAAACGAAATGATGTTTTTTATTGGGTTGACTATGTTAAAAATATGTTTTATAGCGGTGGTTTTGGAGATATATGGATACATTAGAATAGTTCTCATATTTAACCTTTGATAAAGCAACGAAGTGTCATTTATACAGATATTTAGTTAATGACAAAGTTTTATAACATTATTTGACCAAGCATTAACTATTGAAAAATAGAATTGTACTTACAAAAATAAGATTATCAGCTCATAGTCTATATATTGAGACAGGTCGATATGAAAATAAGGATAGAGCTGAAAGGCTATGCAAATTCTGTCAATCTCAACACAATATTGAAGATGAGTATCATTTTTTTTTTATATTTTTTTTTATATTTTTTTTTTTTTTT